TTACATAACAAATTTACATTGCCTCCGACTGTACATTTATAAAGGGACACGAAATCACAATAGCAAGTAATAGAAATGCAAATTAAGCACAATTGAAATGCGAATTGCCATCGTTAATTTGCAACTAATTCGAGACCATTGTCGCATTAAGCTGTTTGCGGTTGAATGATTGCGTCTTAAATGTTCTTTAAACGTTTCCTATGAATCTAGTCTGGTCATATTCAAGGAAATTATAGTTTAGAATTACACGGTCCTTTTTTTATCCATGGCTATTACGTGACTGTAATGCTAATTAAAAAAAATGCTTTAGAGCAACGAATACAACTCCTACATTGCTTACTCCTTCGTAAGTTGGAAGAAGAAGTCCACTGAGAAAAATAAATAAGTGACTATAGGGGTTGGTCTTTTTAAATATGTATTTGTTCACATTTATCATTTACTGTAATATATATGTTTAAAAATATCATAGATACAACCTGAAAGTGCTAAGTGGATCAATTCCTTTCATTAAATAAACTTTGTTATTGTTTGAAGATGATTTAAAATACGTAAATGGCAGCTTTTGAATATCAACAGGAATCCTATTATAGAGGCGTATTACATTGCGGAATGGAAACAAAAATCTTGCGGAAAGTTCTGGGATCGACTCAAAGGGAGGATGGGAGCTGGAGTGCAAGGGAGAACCTTGAAATTGAGAATTTGCTGATGTCCAGGCCCAATATTGTGAGAGAAACCAAAGCTGCGAGACTTCGCTGACACGTGAAGAGAATGGGAGAGGATCGTGCCGCGAAGAGAGCGTACTTGGGGCGTTCTTGGTACCACTGGAGAGATGAAGTCCAGAAAGAACTAAAGTGGCTGGCAAGCTCAGAATCGGGAAGCGTGGCACTTTAGTGTGTCCTAAAAGCCACGAAAGTTTAGTACCTACACATTGTTGAAATTGTGGAAATCTACTTCTATTATACGTGTGAGATATATACAACAAATCAAACAAAACATAGTCCCGCAATTGAAGTTAGAAATCGTCAGCAGTAAAAGAATCACTTAACACTAGGACAGAGGGCGGAATGCAAAAAAAAGAAATCCGTGCATTCTCTGTCAATAAAACGGAATTGCGATAGAAAAGCGCAAGATCGCAAAAGAGTTTTAAAACTTTTTACCGCGGTTTTTACCACCGCCTCTAAATAGTCGATAAAATGATGCGTTCCGTTTTTATGAGCAGTTAAGTTTAGTTTTTAGTGCTAATGGCTTCCAGTACGATATTCTTTGAGATTCAAACTGGTTGGACATGAAGAGTAGTTCGAAATAGTCATTTTGTTGCTGGCAGCAGTTTCGCCAACGTTCAATTACAAGGATCCTAATAGCCCATGCACTCCGCGACAATACTGCATTTTTTTATTAGCCCTACAAAACTTGGCAATGTATAATCTCAAGGACATAAAAACGATATTTCTTTAAATTTTATTTTGTCTATCTAAGTGGGCGAAATGGAATGTTTTTTTTATAGTACCAAGAGATGGGACAAACAAGACGGGAGCCTGGTGGTAAGCGACACGCCTACCCATAGCAATTGATGTGCCACTCAGAACTTTAAATCGCAAATATCTGAGGTCCACTGTCCCTGCGCACGTCACCCTAAGACATAATTTGACAAGTTCCACGTGCCTGTAATATCACCCATGTTGAGTTTTAATGGTAATTGTACTAGCTACCTAGTATCATGATTGTCTTTATTTTAGATCAGGGCACCCCAAGACTAAACAACTTGGTGCCCATTTTTTTGAAATTAATACACTTCATGTATATGTATATCGTATGTAAGCAATGACTAAACACTTGCGAAAGCAATAAACAGGCAACTTACCTTACTAATTCGTAAACCAGCCGCATGATTACCAGAAAAACATTACAAACTCTGAGAGCACTACCAGAATAAATTATGTTGAGTTTGCTTTGAGACCACATGCTAACCAACCAACCAACAAAAGATCTCAAATATATCTTAATCTATGAATGCTATGTAAACAAAAGTACACAAGTATGCAGCATTAGTTAGATATAATAAAATAAATACAACAATTTTTCAGTATCTAAGGGCATCACTTTTTATCATGTGGTAAAGTATTGGTATTCTATGATAAAGAAAGTGATGTGAGAAGTTTATAATTAAGTTTCTAATGATTGTACTTTTGTACTGTCATGCCTAACCTAATATTATTGTATTTCTTTTAGTGCATGCTGTGCCCTCCTTTAAGCAATGGGACACTTAGTTTAAAACCATAATGTCTACTCTATATACCTGCATAGTTACAGTGTACTCATGGTTGTGAGAGCCTAATTAAATAAATATTTATTACCTGACGAAATGTAGTTACTGTCAATTATAGATATTTGCAGTACAAATGAAGATTTCTTATTATTGCAAATGTGTTACTGGCTGTGGGACTTATGATCCTAAGTGCCTTCTAATTTGAAAATTCTCCCTATTGTGGCACCACCTATTAAATAGTAAAAGTTAGTGATGGGCCACATTCAGTTTTTATAAAATACAAATAGTTGGCAACATAATGTTAAATAGGCACCTGAACCGAATATTCCTAACAAGTTTTGTATGTGTAGTTTGGCTATCTGAATTGTAAAATAACAAGTCAATGTTAGTTGAGTACTACTTGAACCTCATTCAAATAAATAAATGATTTATGGTCATATCTATCACTTTTATCCTTTCAATGACCCACCTAATGTTAAGAAACATGCAAAGAATTTTAAAAAATTTAAAAAAAAATGTTAGTATGATATTTCATAGCTTAATAATTTAGGAAGATAGAATAAATGACCTAAGTATTATTATTATTATCAAATACTAATGTCTGGCGAACATACACAATGCTGAACATGAAATGAATACTCGACGCCCCTACATCGTAACCATAGGGTTTCACTATAGAGTGAAAACCTCTGTGTCTGCATTTTTGCATAGTTTGTTTTTTCTAATTTTTGTTGATGAAAAAGCTATAAAATTTCGTACTTATATATATTATACCATCTGTTAAAGGTATAATTTAACTAATTAAAAACTATAAACATTATAATATCAGTTACAATATTAATACAAAAATTGAACACTTAGAAAAAAATCCTTCGATGTGGCTGATCCTTCACATTTCAATGTATTTCATACATTTCTCGTAGATGGCGCTACTGAAAAGTAGTTGAAAAAACCAAATACAAAGATCCAACAAAACAAGCACAGTAAAATTGGCGAGGTCCGCTAGTTTGTGCTGTGGCTTACTTGGCATAGCGTCTAGTATGGTTTGCTAGAAGACGTCAGTTCGAATCTGCCTGGATCTAAGGAATTTTTTCTAAGTGTCCAATCTTTGTATTAATATTATAACAAACTAGTAGAGTAATTTCACAAAAAATAGTTGAATTCAATACAAATTTTGCTTTTAATCTGCTATATTTTACACAACGATTTTATCTTCATCCAGAAAAATTACATAGAAATCACAATATAAGGTACTCACTCTAAGATGACGATATATTATGTATAGTATATATGTTCTTACAATCCAGGATAGACATTATATATATGTATAGTTCAGATTAGTCAATTTTAAGCCCTAACATTACTTGTTAGTTTTTTAAAAAGTATGTTAGTACCATAAATTGCATATTTTCTTATTTTATATGAAAAGTACAAGTTCTAACCTAAAAAAAGTTCAAAAAAGTTAAAGCACCGTGTGCGTTTTGAGGACTTACCAATAATCGTGGGTGACAAACACTTTGTAAATAGATTATTACAATACTGTAACTTGGTGAAAAATCTTATTTAATTATAAAAACAAATCGTGACAACAACTCAACTAATCACAACAAACAAAAGTCAAACTGTCACTGTCACTCAAGTTTTTACGTAATTCTACATTGTCTACGGTTAGGTTTTGTTTCACAGCAAGACACAAGAGAAAAAGAGATACGTAGATATCCATAGACATCAAATACGTTTTTAATTCTAAGGATAGTGTTGACAACAAATCAAATATAGTTGATATTAATAACGTTATTGTGTTGAATTACGATTAAACACTAAAATAAAAAAGACAACCACAGCATTCATAATAGTTGAATAAATTTAAGCGCGCATAAATCAAAGTTCATAAGTAGCGCTCCGTTAAGAGTTAAACAGAACGTAGCTAAAAACACCCAAAGAAAAATATTTTGAATTAACTATAATATGATTTATGAAGAGACATATAAATTACAAAATGTAAGTTTTAGTTTTAAATAAAGCACAATTACAGAACAGCATTAATAATCGGACGTAGCCACTCTGGCACTGGCATGATTCCAATGTAAGGTCTAGGAACTCGCTATGTTCTAAAAATAAAACACATTTGTAATGTAGGTATTGTTTTGTATTGACACTTCTTCCTAGGAAATCTACGGAGCTATTGCAATTAAGTTATCCATTCTCTATAATATATTATATTACAACGGTCATTATAGTAGGTATATTCAGGAAAATTTATGTGAATCGTTGCATAAGTACCACTTTTACAATCTTCTAACGTAAGTTTAAAATTAGAAGTAAAATTTTGTATGGTTTTCTTATTTTTAAGACATAGAGCGGAAATATAAAATATAATCAAATTCGATTTAACACTAGAGTTATTTTAATATTTAAATACCTACATGATACTCAATACAACAAAGTAATAAACAAAGTAAATGGCATTAAATCCGTCTGTTGTACTTGCATCCTGTCGTTTATTTGCTTTTGTTTTGTAGTCTTTATTAGTATATATAGTTTGTATTATATTATAAACGTAACTTGTAACCACTTATTTGTTCACTAGCCATATTTGATTAAAACGGTTTAGAATCCGTATACTTTGAAGTTAGTAAGCTAATATCAGGTCATTGATCGTAACATTTTTGTTAGAAAATGATTTTTGTATGTGTAGTGGCACGAAAATAGCCTCCCGGGTAATGCTGCGTGCGCGCAGCCAGTTGAGACACTAGCGCCAGCCGCCCAACCCGTTCCGCCCTACTCCATAAATACTCTGAATTACGAATTGTATCTATTACATTGAGATTTTTGGGTACCACATTATAAAAAGTGCAATAAATAGTGTTTACAAAGTACAATAGTAAATCAATATTGATGTTACTTGATTAAAAGTGATAAAGTGATTGGATAAAGTCCAAGTGTATTGTGATCTTCATATATGGAAGGGCATCCGCCCTATTTATCTGGTAATTTCCATTTACGCCAGAATTGAGTGAGGCCCAATATTTATTTAGTATTGTTATTAATACTTACAATGGGATTAAGAAATTAAGAATGGGATAAAAAAAATAAAAGAAATAGTACATATGAAATTTATGAGAATCTTAGATTTATATAGACGTATCTATTAATTTCATGATCATTGAATCATCTCATGCTACGCAATACGCAATAGTCTAACTACATTCGATAGCATTTGCAATCATATAATAGACAATCGATTGAACATTTAATTAACTATAAATTACTTTCACTCTTTATAACCAATGCGGTCTACCATTGTGCCAATTACAGAAAATTGCAAATAACGTGTTTTCAATATCAAATATTACAGACAATATGTTTACCTTTACTATTCCAGTTACTTTTATTCAACTAACCATTGCATTACTTATAAATCTACTTATAGATCGTAGTTAAGTTATTATAATTTTTTTTTTCTATTTCACAAGACATTTTTACTACTACAAATTATTCGAAAAATTTATTGTTATATTTTAAATAACTCTACAGGCGTAGTGCTCTCATTTGCATTTCCGGCCAACCAACTCAGAGTCACTGAGACAACGAGTACAAATTACAATTACATATCTAAATAAGCCGATTTAAAATTAGTCGTGAAAATTGATATATTTTACACAACATAACAATCAATTGGCCCACGTTTACGCTATCTCGACCTGAATAGTACGTTCTAACAAGTTTCAACTGTTAATTTTAAAAGTTACCAATTACATTATCAACATTTTACTAGTTCTGAAACAGCAAGTCTAGAAAGTGTTGTTATTTGGTATTCTTTTCAATCTAGAAAGATTTAAAATAATCGGTACCAGGTTTGTTGTTGTAAATTAAAAACAAAAAAATATTCGACACACTTGTAGCATGCTGTTTGTTAACACGATAGTAATAACTTTTCATGATACCAATGCGTGAATTTGAACATTAAGTGACGTCATCCGATGACGTCAGAACAGACAGCCGTCTGGATCTGGAGTAGACATCAGGTTCTGGCATCTGTCCAAGATCATTAAATCAACGATTTCGTGAGAAATGGGGACGCTTTCTTATTTAGCTGTACGCAAAAGCTCTTAGATTTTACCATAAGGTCATTGGGTCAAATATTGTTTGAAAATAATATAATTGTTCTTTCAGGCTTGTATGGATAATGTGAGTCTAACCATAACGTGAGGATGAATACGGGAGGAAGGAGAGCTATGACCGGCTCTATACATAAAATTAGAGAATTTGAGTTAGAAAAAGTAAGTGTGTGTATATAAACAAAACCATATTGACAAGAATTACTTACAAAAACTTACAGATACTGACTATCGTTGTTTCAGGTAAATTTAGTTGAAGAATTTGATATTCTTCAAATAGTTGGTGAAGGATGGTTTGGAAAAATTCTCTTAGTGGAACATAGAGCCTCAGATACCGAAATAGTCCTCAAAGCATTGCCGAAACCATATGTTTCGATAAGAGATTTTTATAGAGAATTTCACTATGGACTGCATTTGAGTGCACATAAGAACATCGTTACCACATTTGATGTTGCTTTTGAGACAGCTGGGTTCTATGTTTTCTGTCAGGAATATGCACCCTTGGGTAAGATAATGTTTATATCGCTAGTACTGCACATAAAGCTTAAAGTTATCTAATCTTGTAATACATTGGTTCTCACATGTTTTGTTTTGGACATTAGCCAACGCTGCGGTTTGAATGAATATAAATTCTAGCACATCTCCAGTGCCAGACCTCATCAAGATCATGTTTATATTGACTACTAATAAAATAATTTAATTTTTACATAATATAGGACATATGACCAGCAATTTTTAATTGACGTGGTAATTTACATTTTTTTTGCAGAGAATTTCAATATTAGTCATGGGCGATTACATCAGCGGATGTTCTTTATTACAGGTGATTTAACATCAAACATGTTTGACACTGGCATCGGGGAAATTCACACTAAAAGAGTTGCTAAGCAACTTGCTGCAGCTTTAGAACACCTTCATCAAAGAGAGCTTGTGCACAGAGATGTTAAACTTGACAACGTACTTATATTCAAATCAGATTTTTCAAGGATTAAACTTTGTGATTTTGGAGAAACTAGAAAAGTACAATCGTCAGTACAAAGAAGAAATGAGTGGCTACCATATTCACCACCAGAAGTCTTAAAGCTATCAATGGACAGCACTTACAAGTAAATGTTTATTTTGCCCTTAGCAACACTAATAGATGAAACGTTGTTAATAAAATTAATATTGTGTTGTTTTCAAACAAACTGTAAAATTATTTAAGCAGTACGATAACCATACTTTGCAACAACAATAAAATTATATGTTTGTTAAACATACAGTTATTTGAGTAATACTTACTCATTCACAACCTCGTTTATTTTCTTTGCTTTCAGAGCCTTGATTACCCACGATATTTGGCAGTTTGGTATAGTTATTTTTATTTGCCTTACTGGGTGTTTACCTTGGCAAAAAGCTGCTTTTGACGATCCTCGATACACAAGGTAAAATTTGTAATGGTTTTAAAATTAGATTTTTCGTTTTCATAGTTTTTTTTCAACTTAAACTCATTTTTTAGCTACTACGGCTGGTATAATAGTGCTAACCCTTTGAAAAAACAACCAAAGCTTTGGAAAATGGTATCTTCGAGAGCACAAAAAATGTTCAAAAAGTTTGTTGAACCAAGATACGACAGGAGAGCTACAAATTTCTCTGAGTTGTCTCGTTATATGGACGATCGATGGTTAGCGAAAGGTTACACTGATCGGGTTGGTAAGTTTTTCAATGTGAAGAAATCCTTGAGGATTAGAACTGTAGTTTATTATATTAATACAAATATTGAATGCACTTTCTTTTAGCGGGTGGTGACATTGACGAATTGTGTCCATCGATGTATAGTTTTCACAGTGATCCTAACGAGAAGAATATACTCTTAAAACACTTCCGCGATAATGGAATTGAAACTACAGTAGACCGTCAAGCCAAAAAGCAAAGAATTCGTGATTGGATTCAAAACAGTGTTATTGAGGAAGTTGATGAAGAGGTAATGTAATAACTCACATTTGGCTAGTGATAAAAACAATGTCTTGAATGATGAATTATAATCATTCCTCTTACGAAATTAAACTATATTTTTCGGATCGACAACTGTCAGTCGGCCGTGATCATTGACCCTATAAACGGCCTGAAAAGTTGGTTTGTTTGAAAAAAAAAACAAATATACTCGTTTTAGATACGAAAAAAATAGTTTCATTTCCTACGTATAACTAACAATCGCGAAAACCTATGAACTCGATATCATTCCCATTACTATTTTACAAATAAAACTAAATGATATTACTATTATTATCATAGGAGGAAAGCGTATATGATGCGAGTGTTTATGAAGATAGTGATGTGGAATTAGAAGACAGATCGCGACCCTATCCAATTGATGAAAAACACTCTAAACCACGTCTCCGCTATGATACTGAAAAACACATAAACCCAAGAACCGGAGAAGTCGTAGAAGGAGCTAAGTCTCCTGCCGAGAAAAATCCTTTATCCTATGATGTACAAAATATTGAACCTGTTGCTCCAGCTACGGTTGTAAGAAGATACGGCTTGAAAGAACAAGGATCCTCGCATAGTTCCACTAAAGACAGCGCTTACGGATCAATGGATGCTAAAGTTAATGGAACAAAATCGGTTTCGCTCAAAAGTGATAACAAACAAATGTCTACAATTCAATCAACTAGAAACTCCCCTAGCAGATCTTTAAGTGGATCTTCTATACACCAAAACAGATCGCCAATGTCAGTTCACGCTCAAAGAATCCAAAAGAGTGAAGAGGTATATTCCAAAGAATTAGAAAGTTCTAAAGGTAGTACTTCAACGCTTCATACTCACTCCTCGAGATCAAACAGTCTTCAGGTGATACGAAATGAATCCCTTGACTATTCCAGCAGTGCCAATGATGTTCCATCACAGGCCGAAAATATCGGCAATGCATCTAGACCAAACAATCCAATAATAACTGAAAATGGATTTAGCCCTGGCGTTAAACAACTACAAACTAAATCTAAATCTAAATCGCCATCACCATACATTTCAATGAAAAGTGCGGCGTACTCGGCGTACGATAATGTGCAGCCTGTTCGTAATACAACTATGGTAGTCGAGCAATTTCCACAAAACAATACAGTACCTGATAGTCCTTATACGTCCATGATGAATATTGTACAAGGTCAAATTAAAATTAGCCCTCATGAAAATGAAATTAACAGCAACGTCGTTAATGTCTCCATAACGCCTGTAAGCAATAACAAGAAAATGTGAATAATTGCTCAAAATTTTGTTCGAACATACCGTACCTATATACTTATGCATTAATATTCTTTTCATACAACCATTATAAATGTAACCTTATACTGTTAGTAAACGTAATATAAGTATTAAAATATAATCGTTAAAATTAGAATTTAATCTCTACTGGAATCTATTATACCAGTACGTATATTACTATTTATTCTTGAGTGTTAAATGTACTGAAGAAATTCTTCGCTACTGTTTGGAAAACAGCTCATACGTATACCTATCATGCCTATAAAGGCTGTGACATGTTAACATTTAATTATACCATCATGTCTCGTTTTTTAAACTTTTGTGCCTTCATCAATTATTACCATATTGTTGTATATGAATTAGGTAATGAAATATGTTCCATTATTTTATATGTTTAGCTAGGAAATGTTAAAATTTAAATAAAGACAATCATTATGCGTAATATTTATTATTTACTGTGTTGTCTGAATAACTGCTAAAGCGACTTATTTTTATAAGTTTATAAATAAACTGTGCATTTGAACGGTGTTGATTTCAGTCAATTATTTAATCCTGCTTTTAATATTTTCTCTCGATAACGGAGAAGTAACGTTATTTCAAATTTAAGTAACGTTATTTCACGTTACAAATTTATAATTGCTCCGACAACACTATTACGAAAAAAGCTGCAGCGCCATACGCTCTGTCAATACATGTCAAAAGTCATTGTCATAGTCAAAATTAAATTTGCTAACCGCTCGCGATTATTATGACACTATAATCATGAAGAAATTCTATAAAGATACGAATTAGTAGTTATAAAAAACCTAATTATCTTACCGTTTACAGTTTGCCAATGTAAAACATCATTAAAAACTAACGTTGAATTTTTAGTGTTGGTGTTGTTAGAACAAAATGGATTATAACCTCTCTTGAGCGGTATTATATCGGTTAACAAATACGTTGTAAGTCGCGTTAAAATGCAGAAATTACAAGACAGCGTGTTCTCTATTGTTAAAACCACGAATTTGTCTCCAGCTGTGTTTAGTTATTTACAACCTAGTGACGATTTCCCAGGTATGTTTATTTGCTAGCACATTGTACAATGCAATCAGGCGGCATAAATTGACCGGATGGCTTGTAAATTTGCAGATAAAACGCCTCTTGGCGGCATCCTGAATGATACGAAACATGGCTGGCTTGCGTTGGGCCCGAAATTTTGCGTTGTTGATCTTAGAACTGGGTTGAAGGTAGCTGCACGTACATTTGGAGCTTCTTTGAGGTAATTAACAGTATTTACGTCTTACGTATGTACTAGAATCTATTTCTCGATTAAATTAGCTGCTTTTTAAAAGTAGTGACCCAAAGCAAGATAGTTATTTATTTTTACTTATTACACAGCTATATTCAGAATGTGTTAAATTTTATTATGAACTTTCTATTGATTGAAATAATCAAGTGACAACGTTAACTAGCAAACAAAGATCTTCGAAACAAAAACCGATAAATTCAGTAAATTTTGATTCTAATTTTGTCTAGCCTTGTTGTACAGATTTGTGCTCAGATCTGTGCATTTGAAACATATTTTAAGGATTTGGTAGTTGTTCAGGTTGGATAAATTATATGTAGAAATGTACACAAACTACCATTTAGAATTAAATAAGTCTAAATATGACTTAGCTGTTTTTGTTTGGACGTTCCTCTATCAACACTACACTAACTTTAAAATTGCAAGTTTTCACCAAAGCCTATGAAAGGGAAATTTGCAATAACTTTTTAATTTTATGGTATATTAATTAATATACATGAATACAAATATATGCGATTTAAATCCGGAAAAATAGTTTCATTTCCTATGGATATATTAATGATTTTTTTTTAACACAAATTTTATAATATTTTATACTACACTTTATGTTATTACTTTTTGTGTTATGTTATTAATATTGAATGCATAATTTGATAATTAGGCATTAAAAACACAAAATTGACAATGTTTGAGTTAGCGTGTGTTAATTCCTGGTGTCAACATTGAACTGGTATATAATTTGTTGCCTTTGCACACCATAGGCTTTTGCTTTTTTTAAACTATCTCCTAGATAAAGTAGGTGCTTTTGAGATAAAACGTTGTTCTAGATAAACCATCAGAATGCAGTAATTTGCATATTTTAAGTAGCACTTTCTAAATAAACAATTTGTTCAATAATTGGATAAATTGTTTATTTAGAAAGTTATTGTATTTTGTAACAGAAAATAAGTTAAAATCATTTACGATATAAAATAAACTAATACATAACGACCATGCATGCTAATACACAAAAATAAGTAATATAATCTTAGTAATTTCAGAACAACGGTCACCAGTGTGGTAGAGCTTCCGACTCCTCTCACAAACAACTCACAACAGTTACTGATCAGTTTAGAATGTGAAGATATTGCTGGCATGATATGTGTGTTCCACATAAATGGTTCACAAATTCTACGTTGTATTCAAACTGAAATTGTGGTCACACAACTTGCAATTTGTGACAGCATACCAGACGGTCCTTTCTCATGCTACGATGGCATTGTCATGGCAGGAACGAAGACTGGAGAAGTCTTCGTTTTCGATCTTAATCGAGCCAGTTTAATACAAGCCTTGAAACACATTTCACAAGGGTATGAACATCTAGTCCGTAATGAAGAGAATCTTGCCAGTATTACATTTTTACCATTGTCTGCAGTAGAACAAATAGAGGTGCAGAAAGATTTAGTTTTGGAGAATGATGATCATATAGCTGTACTACTCAATGAGAACTCTTTGGTGGAAGGACAGTACATATTTCGTAATCCTGATGGCTCAGTTCGTATGAAGGCAAAAAGGAACCATATAAGGGTGACAGTGATACAATATATTCCACAACTTGGCAGTTTGACTGTTGGATTCAATTTTGGCGCATTTCAGATATGGAACCTTCTGAATTTAGACCTGGAGTTCACTTCTCAAGTTAATGTGGAATGCTTGCCTGTTACACATTTTGGATTTCAGGTAAAGATTTGAATAAATCATTTGAACAATTCATATGATCTATCTGATGGAAAGCAGTAGCCACAGTCTATAAACATTAACCTGTCATGTGCCCTAGAAACAGATAATGTCTGTAACATGCATCTGTGCTTACATCCACCATTTTTAAAAATTTTTATATTTATAAAATATATTTTAAATGTTGACTTTAGTATTAACTTTAAACTGCAATTGTACTGTTCTATGTAATGAAAAAAAATAGTATTTTTTAAATACCACAACATGGTTGTATTAAGGGGCAATAATAATAATGTGCCAAACAGCCACATCAATTGCCTGGTCTCAAATTAGGAAATGCTCTGTGCTTTGAAAACCAGAGATACAAAATCATCTCCAGAACACTCATACCAGTACAGATTTAGAAACATTTGTTTTCCAATTGGTCCTGCTGGCTATTGAATCTAGGACATACAGTTGAGCTATAGGAGTGATCCAACTTGCTTGCTTTGTAAACAGGACTTTTCAAATACGTTTAAATGAAATTTAATTAAAAGTATTTGGATTATATTCATTTATAAGGTTTTGTGAGAAAAAAAAAACTAAAAGAAAGTGTATTTTTTATTCTCTACTTTTGCCTAACATGTTTTCAGGAACCCTGTGACGACCCCAGAGCATTCTGCTACCTCTGGGTGGTTTTCTCTGTAATAGACAGGTTTGATGAAGAGGAATTCCCTTTGGCTGTCATGTACTCTCTTACCTATCAAGGCAAAAGGATGTTATCTGATACGCAATGTCTTTATCAGGTGACTGAGTTTTATTTTGATTTTAAAGACAAACTGATCGTTTTTCATATTACTTTGAAAGCAAACATTTCATGAAAGTTTCAATTTCCAATAGATATTTTTTAGTTTTTTGTTTGTTTAGACACTAATGTCCACTTGCAACTTTGGTACATCTTGAACCAATGCTTGCAATTCAAAAAACACTCTTAATGGATTGTGCTAAGAGTGTCATCAATTTAGGTGTTGTTTTAAGAGATACCTAAGTTTAGTACAATTGGACATAAAACCTTTATGGAGTTTCAAATGTGTCATGTTTGACAAACTCAAAATTAAATAAGCAGTCTTCACTAAGTACATAATTACATCAACTCATATAAAAAGATAAGTTGGCCAAACACAAATTAATTAATGATCATATTTACGTAAGGTGAAGATAGGTTTATTGGTAAGCACGGATGTGAATGAGCAAGAGGGCAGTGGTTTAGTTGCATTGGGACAGTATTCGCATTCGCCTGTCGTTTATTTGCAATATGTTTTTATAGCAGTAGAGCTCCTTGTGAAAGAGTTTGTCCAGGGTAGTACTGCCACCTTACCTATTTCTGCCGCCAAGCAGTAATGTCCGCATTACTGTGTTCCGGTTTTGAAGGGTAAGGGTGCTGGTGAAATTACAGGCACATGAGACTTGTCAACTTATGTCTCAGGGTGACGGGCGCATTGCCCCTCATATCTTTGCGACTTAAAGCCCTGAGTGATACTGCAACACTTATGGACAGGTGTGTATCTTACCATCAGGCGCACGACTTGTTCGTCCCGTCACTTGATTGTATAAAAAAAATATTTACAAGTACAGGTTGTTGTTGTTATGAAACAACTTATTTTATTATTAAATTTCACGGTATTTAATAGAGATATTAAACCTGTACATATTTTATTTCTTGCCTATATAAATAGTAACAAATAACGTTGATATGTGTTATATAAATAGTAACAAATAACTTAGATATTGTCTAGAGTCTAATCTATATTGTTTCTAATAAAGACTGTAATCGTCATTGCAGGAATTCTTAACAGCAACAATAAGATTCCAAGTTGAATTGAGCACAACAGAAGAAAATGCTCACCTAGTTGGAGGACGTTGTGTCTCCTGTCATACATATTCTGTCAATTCCATGCTTGGGGGAGTGGGTGAGGACAGTAAGTACGATACTGACGTGTTTTTTCATAAATATGTAAATTATCATAACTTAGAACTCATTCATTTGTGGAAACACAGGTTGTATAGTAGTTGACAGTAAAAAATTAGTATAGTTTTATTGTGCCCGGCTAAATATTAGGCATACGAACATATTGAAGGCATTTTGTGTATTTAGTATTTATTACAAATGAAACTATGTTTACGGATCTCAATCGCGTATTAGTTTTTTCAAACTAACCAACGTTTCGGGTTCTTTACAAGGCTCATGGTCACAGTCATGGTGACTATTTGATTGGTTTGCTTTAAAAAACAAATTTAAATAAAAAATTGAAATATAAATAAAAATAGTTTCTTTCCCGAAAATAAGTATTTATTAAATGGTAAGTTTGTATTGAATTGATATTCAATTGTTTTATGTGAAATTACTCCACTAGTATGTTAAAACGCTACGGCTAAAAAGTCGTTGTAAAACCAAATATAAAGACATGAACACAAGCACAAGGAAAGATTCGTGAGATCCTCTGATTCGTTCCGTGGCTTGGTTAGTATAGCGTCTGGCACGGTATGCTAGAAGACGTCGGTTCGGAACCGGCCGGATCGAAGGATTTTTTCCTCGATCTTTGTATTAATAATTATATTATAACAATATGAAATTATAACAAAGTATTTATTATTTTCTTAACAATATTATGCAGGTACCAATACAGGTAACAGCATTGTGTGGTATGGTGTAACGGACTGTTGTCCGCAACTCTACGTCCAGGCCTATTTTGCGTGAAGTGGGTGCAGAGTCCTACTCGTGCCACCCAAGCTCCTCCAAAAATCTCAGTACCCTCATGAGTTTGTCGAAGACTGCAGGGAGCGTCCTCGGCAGTCCAAGGTATTTCGCACTGTAGTTGGCGAAGCCGGAACATTGCAGTAGGATGTGCGCAGCCGTATCCTCTCATGCATGCTCTGCATAGAGGGCAGTCTGTGATACCTAAATTATTAAGATGTTTATTATATATGGACCCGTTAGAGCGGCAGTTAGAAATTTACGAGATAGACCGGCTTTGAGCATGGGAAGTGCTTACCTAACGTGTTTACAGACCGTACGGCGTGTCTAGGTGTTATTAGTAATAGTTTTTGTACTTTAGTGTATAGTTGCTCTTGACCGTTGGGTAGGGACTCTATAGGTTCTGGTCTAACTCGACCATCTTCTTGCCAGTTCCATCTGCAGCGTCATTGCCACGTGAGCCGTTGTGTCTACTGTAGGGTTACGTGGTTGTATAAACATACCTTCGTGAGTGCTTGGTGGCATTCATGGATAAGTCCTTTATGTCATAGCCACCCAGTGCTTGAACTACTGACATGTTGTTGGAGAGTATTTAAATTGAATGAAAGCTAAGATTGCTTCTGCTGCCATCTTGATAGTCATGCATTCAACCTGGAACACTATGTTATGGTTGCCAAGCGGTGTTAAAATCCTGATATTAAGGTCCTCTGAAAATACCCCAATACCTGTTCCTGAATTTGTTTTGGACCCGTCAGTGAAGATCAGAATCTTTTTGGGGTTAAGTCGTTCATTGGGATCTTCAAGCAACAACTGTATTGTATTTTTTGTGATAACCATTACAGCGCATTCAATATTGTCCACATAACGCATTCATACATAGGGCGCACTATACATTTCCGAAACTGGCCACTTACATAAACAATATTTAAAAAGTAATTACTGTAGAATACGGTTTGTTTCATCTGACTGTCACTTGTTTTTACATTGTGGCGTCATTTTAGAAATTGGTTGTCTACATCACCATGGATTTAACTCGTGAAAATTTTCGTAGTATGATTTTCTACGACTTTAAGTGTAATTTAACAGCTCAGCGGAGCTTCCCTCGGCTTCAAACTGCTTTTACCGATGAAGCACCATGCAAGACGACTATTTATAGTTGGTTTGAAGAATTCAAACGCGGTCGTGTCTCAATCTCAGTGACGAATTTCGTGATGGTCCACTGCTGTGAAATACTGTGCGCCGTATAATCACGGCAACACAAAACAGACAGGCAATTTGTCTGAGGCTCAAAAACGGATCTCGTCACTTGGTGTAATGCCATGCTTACCAGATTCAACGAAGGGGCGTCAAATTTGGTGTGGGAGATAGTAACTGGTGACGGAACATGAATTTATAGTTACTATCACAAAACAATGCAGAATCGGCGCGCATGCTTATTGCCTCTAAGAGGATGATTGGTTCTTTTTTAATAAAACTGGACACGTGGCTACTGTTGCTTTGGAGAATCATTGTACCGTGAATAGTGATTGGTACACGACCATTTGTTTGCCGGAAGTTATTGACAAACTCCGTAAAAATAACCGTAAACGCCGTATCATCTTGCACCACGATAATACCAGTTCTCACACGGCCGGACAGACAAATGAATTTTTGAAGGTGAACAACGTGGACCTTATGAGCCGTCTCGCCTATAGTCCCGACCTGGCACCTTGTGACTTTTATTTATTTCCAAAAATTAAGAACCTGCGATCAACGAATTTCATCTGACTGTCAAAGAGTATGAAAAATATGTTTCAGAGACTGTCACGGAGGAGTGGCATAAATGCTTTCAAAATTTGTTCATTCGTATGAAAAAATGCATTAACGCTAACGGAGAATATTTTGAGAAACAATAAATTCATTTCAGACAATTTGTAGCATTTTTTCTTATTCATTCCGAGAACTTATTGTGCGCCCCGCGTATGGGTTAGAATTTTGTAACATCCGTTTTGTCCAAACCTCTTTCCTTTCTTAATTGTGTATTATAAAAAAGTAATTTCTATTTGTTTTTCAAACAAACCCATGTTTCGGACCCTTTACAGGTCCCATGGTCACAGCTGACATGTATTAGTAAACAAATATACGCCATTTAGATCCGAAATAAATTAGTTTCATTTCCTATGTGTAACAATCGCGATAACCTAAGAATTTATTGTAAAGAAATATATAAATTTGTAGGCAGACTATGCATATACATTTACGTTTGCAAATACGTATGTTCGTACGTACCACACGTTATATTTTTTATTTTTATATCAGTTTACCTAAATCGTAAAAAAATTTATGGACTATAATATCAATGTTTACAGGCATGTTGAACATTTGCCAACTAGTGTGGGAGTGCTGGGAAGAGAACGCCAATTCATCAACCCAGTATGGAATGCTGCTCTTTGACTTGGATCAATGGTACAAGGATCAAATGCCAGGTGAGCCTGTCATGACTAATATCGTAATTTGCAATTTTTGTAGTAATTGAGTAAGATATAATTATGTTAATAAGATGACATCACATTATTAATTTCTGTACCTAATCTAAAAAACTGTGTTTATTTTTCTTATTTATATTGTTGTAGAATACTTGAAGGAAGCACTTATAATCGTGAATTGTAATTTCAATTGCAATATATATTATATTGAATGCTATGATGTTTTTATTACCATTCAGAAAAATATTATAAATGTAATGATAGTATATTGATATTATATGATATTCAATAAAAATAAAATATTGCAAGTAATATAGCGACATCTCTATAAGTGTTGGGCGTTAATCAATTAAATTTCAATCAATAATTCAATCAGATTAAAAAATCAATTCATTCAGATTAAAATCAATTGTAATTGATTTGAATTGAATTGATTTTAATTGCAATTAAATTTGCAATTAAAGTCAATTCCGGCCGGTTGAGGGGCCTGTCGGGGGGCCCGTCAGGGGGCCGGTCGGGGGGCCCGTTGTTGGCCCGGCTGGTAGGCCGGTTTGGGGCCCGGCTGGGGGGCCGGCTTGGGGCCTGGTTGGGGGCCCCGGTCGGGGGGCCCGGTAGGTCGCCCGGTTGGGGGCCTAATTGGGATCCCCGGTTATGGGGCCGATTGGGGTCCCCGGTTATGGAGCCGGTTGGGGCCCAAGACGGGGGACCTGTTGGGATCCGGTTGGGCCCCCAACCGGCCCCATAACCGGGGATCCCAATTAGGCCCCCAACCGGGCGACCTACTGGGCCCCCCGACCGGGGCCCGCCGACCGGGGCCCCCAACCGGGCCTCCGACCGGGCCCCCCAAGGGGCTCCAACCAGGGCACCCAACCGGCCCCATAACCGGGGAACCCAACCGGACCCCCCAACTGGGCCTCCAACCGGGGCCCCCAACCGGGCCCCCAACAGGGCCCCCAACTGGGCCCCCCAACCGGGCCCTCCAACCGGGCCCATAACCGGGGACCCAATCGGGGCCCCCCAACCGGGGCCCCCATAACCAACGCCCTAACTCACCCCCATATGCCCTATAAATTTATCGTAATTGTCAGTTTTAATTGTTAATCAAAAACATTGAAAAGATTGAAAATTGATTAATTGTTAATTGTAGATATTTGCGATTAACGATTGATCAATTGTTAGTTGCGAGAACCGCAATTAACAATTCATTAATTCGCAACTAACAATTGATCAATCGTTAATTGCTGTTTCGCAATTGACAATTAATTAATTGTCAATATTTAATTGCCAGAACAATTAAATTTTGCCCAACACTGATCTCTATCTTCTGGTAGCTGTAAAGGTGCCTGGCTGAATGAAGAAACTTTCATAAGTTTGTTATATTTATTAATACAAAGGTCGAACACTTAGAAAAAAATCCTTCGATCCGACTGGATTCGAACTGACGTTTCCTAGCAAACCGAGCCCGACGCTATGCCAACTAAGTCACGGAACGAACCAGCGGACCTCACGAATTTTTCTATGTGCTTTTTGTGGGATCTTTGTATTTGGTTTTTAACGACTTTTTAACCGTAGCACAATCTATGAGAAATCTATGAAAGTATTTCGTCACCCAGTTTGGTACCTTTACAGCTACCACCCCTGCTACTCTCGAGGTTGCTATTTTGTGATACGGTCTTAGGACCCCCCATATTCAGGACGTATCTTCTTTTAAATGACACCAAGTGACGGGATGAACCACTGGATGCGACTGGGTGGTAAGCGACACGCCTGTCTATAGTAGTTGCAGTGCCACTCAGAGATTTAAATCGCAAAGATCTGAGGGGCACTGCCACTGCGCCCGTCACTCTGAGACATAAGTTGACAAGTTCCATGTGACTGTAATTTCACTAGCATCCTTACCTTTTAAAACCGGTACACTGCTTGACGGTAGAAATAGGTATTCATATTCATATATATTTATTGCATTTGTACATGGTTTCCTTAGATCTAGAATACATTTAAATTGTCCTTTAAACATGTAGCACCCCGCTGGTTCAAGGTGGCAGTAGTTCACTGGACGAACTCTTTCACAATGAGCTCTAAGTAACCTTGTGTATAGTTATCTTGACCATTGGTAGGGGGCGTTCACCTCGCGCGAAGCTAGCGCGTCTTAGTAGCGGTCTAGAAGAAGGTCTAGAAGTCGTGATCTAAGTCCGGATATGGTCTCAGGACAATGCAACCGACATCTCCGACACTAGCACTAAGATCTAGTAGAGGATAAGCTAGATATTCTCCGGTACCTCGTACCACCTTTTTCGGCGTCGGGAAGTGAGCGTGCCTTACAGCTCCGCCACCAAAGCGGCAGTGCTTCACTGGTCGAACTCTTTCTCAAGAAGCTCTAATGTTTATGTTGATAACCATTAACTTGAACGCCAAGAGAGTAGCGAGGGATCGATACGATTATTGTAACATTAGAAACGGGAAATCGTCTGTACATGGGGACTAGCTTTGATTTAAAGCCCCAAGCAAGTTTTTTATAAACCTATAAAATTGTCGTTTAATTGCAGCTACATATCAGTTGCAAAGCAACGCATTCATGAGCGCCACCTCTTGCCGCGAACTTGCCCGCGGCGCTGTAGCGACGCTGGACATCCGACTATCGCCGTCCTCCGTCTCCGTCTACTGTGCTGCTACGAGACTCGAGGAGCACTTTTACCCCAACTCATTGCATTATGGTAAGTTTTATTTTCAGTTATTATTTTATTTCGGATTATTTATCCATACGGTAGAATTTGAAATGTCGTAAATGACATTTTACCGTACGACAAAATGTAACTTACGACATTTTACAATTCGATATATCAACAAAATTATTGCTTTTATATCGACAGTGGAAATTTGAAATATCATAAGTGATATTTTGTCAAAACGGACATTTTGTCGTAAGGGAAAATGTCCCATATGACATTTAAAATTTTTATCATCGTATTTATAGCGGACTGTATCAATGTGTTAAAGGGTGGGTGCTAACAACGAGTGAGCAAGGTCAAAGCAAACATACTTACAGTTTATTCATATTTATTATAAAACACGTATGTAGCTATCAAAACAAAACAGCAAAAGGTCAAGAAAAGGCGCCAAAAACAATCACGTTTAAATTTAGAATTTGAATATAAAACTAAAACTTAGAGACTATTAAATATATACCAAAAAGATTTGTAGCGACTGCTGCGATTCGCTATTTTTATTTTACTAACTAAAACAAAGAAAAACTTACATACTAATGTTAGTAATTACACCTTATATATACTAGTTTAGGGTACCCGTGATGTTCGATCCAGTGTTCAAGGAACGAACTATTTACTTCCCCAGATTGCATCTGTCTAAATACTTCAGAAGCGTGTGTGCTATCAACAATAGGAATCCAACGTCAGATAATAAACTCGCTGGACGAGGTCGGCCCGACCGCGCTTCTCAACCCGACACGGTTGTACAACGCTTGTGTCGCGACAGGTTTGGTACCTTTATATATGGATACTTCCAGGACTCCTACTCAGGTACGTCTACTAGGAATGTTTTCTGTGATTCTCTATTTATTATGAAAATCATATGTCATATCACAATCACCTTGGACTGTTTTGAATGAGGCGAAAATGCAATGTCTATCTTTTTCTAGTATAGCCGTATGTGTCCTCCATAATTCGTAACAATTTTGTCATTCTAAAGTTTGTGAGTTTGTAAATTATTTTGTTAAAAATTGTTGCAGGCAACTCCTTCCTATTTTCTATTAACATGAAATAAAAAACAACACTGATTTGTTAATATAGTGTCTGTTTTGAAGACGGAGTAAATGTCATTTGTAGGGTTGCCAGTAAATAATGTCTCTATATAAAAATTATACATAGTAGATATTTTATTCTTGAGTAATTCGGTTTAGACTTTCATTTTAGCCTGTTTTCAAGATTTTATGTGATCAGATAAAGTGCATCCTATCGTGTAACAAATTAGCACATTTTTTGTACAATATCCTTTAATGTGTCGTGTAGTTTTTGTAAGACCGTTATTTAATAGTAAATGCCTAAACCATTCACACACACGCGCACACACACTTACACACTCTCAAGCAATTGTACTTCTTTTGTGCTGCATAATTTAACATAATTATTTAAGTAACTTATTTTAAATTTTGTCTGACCAACATCCAATATTTTGCCTATACTTATATGTATAATGTTATTGATTTTTACGGAGGTAGAAACCTGGCGACCTGAAATACAGGATCAACCTAGTTCAGGCACCAGTCTCTGCAAATATTGTGATCTATAACATATATCAATTAATGTATGTATATGTATAGTGTAAACTTTTCAGAGAAAATAAAGATTATTATTATCTAGGAAAACGGTTTTTACCGCTTCAGTTTCGCAGTGTTGACTCGCCTTAAGTGTTTATATTAATGACGATCATATTATCTCTTGACATATAAAATTATTTTATATTGTATTCTGTCCGATAAGACGAAGAGGATAATGATGATGCTTGGTGATCTTCTGATATTTCGGACTCCATTTATGACACAAGGACAATTTGGTTTGTAGGAAGAACAACGGCGTTACCTGTTATCAGTGGCCTTGGAAGCACGATTGTCCCGATTTTTAAAACGCTGCGCACACGACTGGGCTACAGGCAGCCATAGCGGGGCTGGGTGTACACTTACGTTTCTGGTAAGTTGTCGAGCGTATGCTAAATTACATAAATTGTATCTCTACCATAAATTTACGGCAATGTAGTTCTTTTTGTGATCGGTATACAGTTTGTTGTGCACGTAAGCTCGTTACGTTAGTTATTGTGTCCTGTATTTAGGTCTTAAGGAAGAAATTTCTTTTAGAAATAAAAAGAAACTTTTGTTTGTGTTTTCCTTTTGTTAAATATGATTTGTCTCTTTCCTGTACAATAAACGATAATATGTATAAAACAAATGTAAACAATACGAAAGAATTGTTCTAAGTGTTCATTCTTTGTATTAATAATTATTAGGCGACCTCTGTGGTCTACTGTCTTGCACACCGGTTTTCGTGGTGTCGCCCATAGATTTAGTATATCCAATACTAAATATATGTATGTAGAAATGTAGAAAACTAACGTGTCTGGGTTTTTGTTGTACCGTCGTTGTTTCCATTTCCATAACACAAGTGCTTTAATTGCTTACCTTGGGATCGGTTCAACGTATGTGATGTTGTCTAATATTGAATTATAACAAACTACTGAAGTAATTTCCCAAAAAAGAATAGAATATGATCGTAGTAAAAAACTTAAAAATTAAATAAATGTCTATAAAGTAATTTTGTAAAGTCTATAATAACACTCTTTTTAACCAAATAAAATTATCCTAATAAGTAAACAATTAAGAGGAATTTTTAATTACAGCAGAGAATTGATAAGCGAGAAAATTATAGTGTAAAGTGTAATACATTTGAATGAAATCGCCTAGTTCGCTAAAACCCGGACTTAGACCTTCAATAAAATCCAGACTTTAAAGCTCATAGTAGAGGTATATGTAACATAAGGCTCATTTTCTGTTTGTTTTGTCTAAACTAAAACTAATTGAAGACTTCCCAGTTGTTGCATCTTAATGATTAAGTGAATGATATCGTTACAATCCAGGCTTGGAATATCGGTATTTTCAGAAACCGGTATCATTAAACTTACTGTACTACCGGTATAAATTATACCTGTATTTCAAGAAATGATTTTACTAACCTTATGGTATAGGTAGAATAAATTTGAACTTTTTTTGAACTTTCTTTGTTTTGTTTTTTATTCAATTATTTATATGCAATTAAATAATCAACATGATTTACGACCGCAACCGAACGTAACAAACTGGCAACTGGTACCTTTAACTAAATATATTTTTTCCATTGGGACTTGAATTCAAAATGGAAAATAGCAGTATAATACATGTATTTTTTTTATACCGGTACGTAACCCTGGTTACAATTTCGTTGCTATGTCGCTATTACGTTTTCTATATTTCTAGATTATTCTTTTGGTTTCAGGTTGACTGGTGTTGGAAACGTGCGTTAGAACTGAAGGAAAATGCAAGAGAACTAACTGCTCCTTTGTTCACATCGTCAGCATTGCCAGACAGGTAATTTTAGTTTTTATATATATTATATTTAGAATAATATCAATCCATAGCTTGCGCAGGAACTTTGCAATTTGGTTTCTCCTTTGACTGACTAGAATATCCGGAACATTCAATCCTTATGTCATTGATACACCATCCATTCGCACGAATGGCTTTGTTTCATCATCATCATCAATCCTTTGTATGTCCGACTGCTGGCCACGGGTCTTCTCTCAGGAGAGGGTTTAGGCTATAATCTGCCACGCTAGCACAACGCGTGTTGGGGACTTCACACGTTTTCCGAAGGTAGTGAACTTTCTTCGACGTCCAGGTTCCATCACGATTTTTCTTCACTGAAAAGCTCATGGTAAATTTCAAATTAAATTTCGCACATTAATTCCGAGAAACTCAGACGTCGAGTCCGGATTCTTATCAAATTCGACACTAAGTGAAAAAGTCAACTTTTGGGATTTGGCCATTTTCAGAAATTAAGTTTAAATTTGAAAAAGCAAGATATAATTTTTGGTATCGTTCATATTTATATACCAATAAATTTATTTAAATAGAAACGTGGTTCGGTGCCTGGAGCATTGTGTACAGCAGCTGACTCAATTGACTGGTCTCCTGGATGCTGTGCTCACCAAATGCTGCAACTTAGTAATTCCTGATGGTGAGTAAAGATACATTATGAAGATTTTATACTCCATTACCACATCAGCCTTTAAGTTTATTTCCGCAAGTCGCTTTTATAACTTGAGACTAACAATAAATCAAATAAATGTTTCAACGCAGGGTTACCATTTAATTTTAATACTACTATCAAAAAGCTTTCCTTATGTACCCATTTAGTGACACTGGTATATGTGTAATTTATATTTCTACGACTGTCAAAATCATGGTTTAGTAAAATACCACAAAGAATGACCTAAGAAAAGTCAACTAGATTCTGAGAGACTTGAAAATGCAAAGCACCACTACACCGTTTAGCAAAAAATTGAAAAATCATTGTTAGATGACTATTTTTTTATGAACCTTTTGAATATTATTCTTTATGTGTCACAACTGTGTTTTCCAGTGAGTATCACGATCGCGACTGTCAGCTACCAGAGGTATAGATGTATCAATCTGACTAAAAAACCTACCATATGTTCTAGGTTGATGAGAATGTTGATGAGAATGAGAAAATGTGTAGGATTTGACATTTTAGCTAAACGTCAAGCTCACTTTCAAGTTGAACTTTCTGAAATAAAACTAATCTATCTTTCAACCAAATGTTTACAATGATAAATAAATAATAAATATAAATAACGCACACACTCAACATAATTTCGTATGGCTTATTATACAGCGCCTCTAATGACCAAAAGACCAAATAACATTTTGTATACTTTACGAGTTCACTAGCAACAACCATCACGGGAAAATTATTAATAAATTTAAATTCTTAGTAGGTACTGTGGGACCGTAGCCTTGGCAACAGTGTTGTGAGAGGTGCTGTGTAATATTAAACGAGAAATGTAATCATATTTGAAGATTGATTGTGGGCTTCCCGTTAGAAGACTCGTCAAGAACCCCTGGGTGTTCCTTTGGCAACAACCCTCCTTTTTTTATACAGTTCTAAATATAAAATAGTAAATGATTATCACTAGTATCGGGTTTCTTACCACGGTATGACTTCTTTTTATTTTCCCGATATTTCGGAACGGTTGCACGCTCCATGGTCACGGGTTGACTGGACGGCGGCAGATGATAGCTTTATGAGCAGACATATCTGTCTAACCTCTTGCGCTGTCGACGACTACCTTCATCGCGATTTGTTGTGGCGTTACCATTGTCACTCACTTTTTTCACACAAACCACACTCACTGTATCCACACGCGAAACTGAACTCGAGGTGTTTTTGTTTTTATTACTGCACGCACTAAGGACCGGATTCCATGCACTGGACAGTTTAAAACCATCATCACGGTTAAATGTTTTGTACTTCGTGATCTCGATGGCTTCTCGTACCAACCGTGGTATGTAGTGAAAAAGAAGTCATACCGTGGTAAGAAACCCGATACTAGTGATAATCATTTAGTGAATAACCACGAAAGTCTTAAAATCTATATAAAATAGTAATATAATTTATCTAGCCTGCACATTGACCTACCAATTAACGGACGTCGGGTTCGCGCTAAAAAGTGTCCGCACCTATAGGGCGTTAAAATAGCGTACAGAGCGTCAATCGCGCAACAGTCTTGGTTTGTTCGACTGACAGCGCGGTTGTCAATCATGCAGTACTATATAATAACTTGTAAAAAATACTGCAGTAAAGTGTAAAAACTGGATTTTGTATCATATTGTCACTAAACAAATATATTGTGTTATCATAGTTCTCATTTAAGGGTCGTATTCCAGAACTCTACTCAATGCTCAAGTCAGGATTTGAGCAGACTTGAGTATGATTTCAAACACTAGAAATACGACTCTAATAGCAAGGCCTTGAGTATGATTTTCAGTGCTCACTGCAATACTCAAGTCCTGACTTGAGCATTGAGTAGAGTTCTGGAATACGACCCTAAAAGTGTCATTTTGTATAGTTTTATAGTATTTAATTTAATTTCTATATAAATGAATCGTGAGTATAAATTACAAAAGCACACAAAATAATCAAATAGCTAACTGTCCTTTTTCTACACATTGCATGCTCAAAAGATTGAAAGAGACCCATTACGTCAATTCCAAGAAACTTATATAAACTTCTTGGTCATTTTCAATGTTTCGTATCACAAGCGATTGAAATATTTAGCACAAAGAAACTATAGAGTCGCTTTGATTTTAATCTTATTTTTAAAGTGATTTTTTTTTTATTAAACGTTAGCAATAACTAACAAAATATTGTTGTACTGGTTTTATGCCTTGGGATTACCTAACAGAAGTCAGAAACTACATTTGCCCGAAATAACGTTAGCTCGAATTTTCATAATGTGAAATGTATTTTTTTAGAAAGATTACAAAACAAAAGCTAATTTTGCGTTAAAAAATTGAAATAAGCGCGCGCTATTGGCTATCTAAATTAGATTTGATTGAGACAGCCTATAGCGCGTGCTTATTTCAGTTCTATCGCGCGGGTCGCGACTATCATGCGTAGCCATGCTACGGGGGCTGATCTCAATAATCACTACTTTGTATTAATCTCACTTTCAGCTCTAAGCGAAATGGAAGAAAAGTACAAAGGCATAGGCACAGTGTCGCTTTACTTCCAAGTGGTGCAGTGGTTCCTGCGTTGCGGATTACTGCCGGAGCGAAATGACTCTTGCAATGCTCTACCTTATCCTGGAGCCAATCTGGTTAATACTTATAGCAAACGGTAAGTTGCCTTGGCTTTTCTTGTGAAATACTATGTAGTAGTAAGTACCCATATCTTGCGTTTTTTTATATAAAAGGCGTTTGAAAAAATTAACAAGAAAGAGAGAACAGGAGATGTTATATTTTTCTCCCTTTGTTGTCAAATGTTTTTTCGTCCTCCCAAAATTTTTGAACATAATAAATAGTTTCAAAAAGGTATAGCGTCCATTACTTGTCTTATTTATTACTGAAATAATGATGTATTTAGGGAGGACATAGCTTTGTTTGAGCTAAAGTGTCTTCCAGTCTAAACGTTATCTACTTACCTTCTTCGTATGGTGTATAACGTATACTGGTCATATGTAATTAACCAGATTTTCTGTTTTATTATGGAGGAATTTCTTTGTGTTTTTTATCTCCAATGCGTATGTTAGTTTACAATGTTTGTACTTGCTAGAAACTGCGTAAAATATTTGACAGCGCCCTTGGTTGTTTAAAGAAAATTTCGAATTTCCTTAGAAATGTTCATTTTTATGACTAAAATTAAAAAAATTACGTGACCAATTTGTTTTCACAAAAAATACCTAATGAATACTAAGACAGTTTCCCTGTATCTCCTATGGTTACGGATTTCCTCATACTGTCCCAGTAAAAAAAAATCACACTAATCATACAGTTACTGTCAAGAACACATCCAAATTCACACTTAGCGGTATCGAGTTGAATTTAAATCTTAAATGTCAAGCTTCGCCTACTTTACCTGTACAAATTTTCTACTGAAACGAGCTCGTATGTTGCAAGGACCTGTGAGGAAACATTACTTATATATTTTGTTGTATTTAATTTCAGTCGTCTGAAACTCCATCGCTTGCAAGACCACGTCATGGGTGATGAGAACGCCGCCAAGAAGTCCTGCTCTTTGCTGTATATAGATCAACTTATAGAACAAGAGTTTGGTGGGGAACGGATACATCAGTAAGTTGTGATTCGAGAATTTCTATTATATGCTGGTTTTCTGAAGGTCTTCGATCTGGGGTCCCCTGTACAATGCACCAGATTAATGTACTAACTCAAATATTCTGAATTCGCAGAATATACTAAACACTAATATATAAATTATTAATAAATTGAAATTTATTAACATGTATTTTTAAAGGCTGTCAGAAAATTTTATTTTGTTTTATTTCAACGCACTCTATTTCTTAATAATACTCGTTTTAAAGAATATAAAAACTACAGATTTTTCACACATTGTGCAGATACCATTTACACGATAGCTAAATAGTCGTATTAAATACAGTGTCAGATACAATCATGGGAGAGCCCACCTTAGTGCTAAACTACAGTTTGTCTTCTTTGAAGACGGAATAAAATGACAATTGCTGGGTTGCTAGTTTCGTAAAATTTTAAATAGTCGTGTACTTGTTGTCGACAGTTTTATCGATATATTGTGAAAGAAGGTCAACATTTGCCAAAAAATCGTTCTAATTTATCATCTAAATTATCTTTTATTTTTCACAGAATGTGGATCCGCGGCGGCAGCGAATGCCACGGTCTCTATCCACCACCGTCTCTATATTCCCTACTTCGACTGTATCTACTCCCCGACATCGCTGAAGAGCATAAACATTCTCTAGTACTATACTTGTTGGTCGACTACTCTATGGTTTATGATGAAGTTCGGTAAGTGTTACAAGCGTTAAGGATGCTAACAGCAGTATTTTGGGTATGTAATGAGGGGCAATAGATATCGGATTCTCCAACTAATAATGCAGGGGAAAATCAAGAAGGAAAACCTCCTGGTTGAAGAATCTGAGAGACTGGTTCAATCTTAGCACATGTTCCCTCTTTCGTGCGGCAAGCGGCAGCAAAAAAAAGGATAGCTATGATTGTCGCCGACCTTCGTAGAGAAGTGGTACGCTATGAAGAATTTAATATCATAGTATCCACTATGTCAGTACAGCAAAACCACTTTCCATCGTGTAGACCGTCTGCTTGCCCGTTTATTTTTTTGACGGAAATTTTATTCTCCTGGCTCTTATATATAAAGTAAGATTTGTAGAGTAGTGTTAGAGGCACTAGGCAATATTACATGTGTTTTAGTTCAAAGAGGAAACGCTACTTTCAAGCCATTGACCTACCTTAAAATGGACGTCGGGTTCGCGCTAAAAAGTGTCCGTAGAGCGTTAAAATCGCATACAGAGCGTCAATCGCGCAACAGTCTTCGTTTGTTCGACTGACAGCGCGGTTGTCACTCATGCAGTACCATATAATAATAACTTGTAAAAATTACTGCAGTAAAGTGTAAAAACAGGATTTTGTATCATATTTTCACTAAACAAATATATTGTCCCATGGTCACGGTTTGTTTGAAAAAACAAATATACGCGATTTAAATTCGGAAAAATAGTTTCATTTCCTATGTGTAACAATCGCGAAAACCTAAGAACTCGATAAATATATTGTGTTATCATAGTTCTCATTTTAAAGTGTTGTTTTGTACAGTTTTATAGTATTTAATTTATTTATAAATGAATCTTAAATATAAATGACAACAGCACACAAAATAATCAAATAGCTAACTGCCCTTTTTCTACACATTGAATGCGCAAAATAGGGGAAGAGACCCATTACGTCAGTTTCAAGAAGCTTATATAAACTTCTTGGTCTTTTTTTAATTTTTCGAACCACAAGCGATTGAAATATTTAGAACAAAGAAACTATAGAGTCGCTTTGATTTTAATCTTATTTTTAAAATGATTTTTTTATTAAACATTAGCAATAACTAAAAAAATGTTGTACTCGTTTTACGCCTTACCTATCAGAAGTCAGAAAATACATTTGCCCGAAATAACATTAGCTCGAATTCTCATAATGTCAAATGTATTTTTTTAGAAAGATTATAAAACAAAAGCTAATTTTGGCCTTGTGAAAAGCATCAAAATTACTCGAAAGCGTAACGGTTTTATTATAAATCAGTTTTCGGAATTACGGATATTTGAGTTTACGTTTAGTTGGAATATCGGGAATATCGTCTGTGGGAACATTTCTTATAGTACACGCTTATATTTACATTTGTAGTAATATTTGTATGTATGTATCTGCCCAACTCTTTATTATAATCCTTAAGTGAATTTGTAAAAAAAATCGACATAATATATATAAAAATTAATTAATATTTACGAGAAAGGCTACTCCATTACTCTTGTGTTCAAGTAATTTTCAGTCGAAGCTAAATATGGTGCATTTTGTTAAGTTTCCAGTAGAAGCTGAATATGGTGTTTTTGGGCCCTTATATTGTTGCAAGCAAAATTAGGCAGCACCGCAATGACGTTACAATTTAAATTAAATGTTTTAGTTTTTTTCATATTTCGTTACATGTCACTACGTTTGTATAGGTTAACTTCGTACATTTCTTTCGTGGTTTTTGTTTTAGACCTGATGTCCAATTTATTGGTAGGTCAATGTTTCAAGCTTAAAAATCTGCCTTAAGGAAATTTGCTAGAAATGCATGTATTTTTTTATTTTTTTTATTTACAGTTACGAAGCTGTAATCCGTAGATTGATGCAGTTCCCAACGATGTTTGGTCTGAGTAACACCTCTATAAAAGCCACGCAGGCTTTCTGGCATCTCGACCATAGGGATTTTGATGTAAGTGATTTTTGGAATCAATTAGCCTTGCCTTTTGTAATCCATTTTGTGAACTTGCCGAAAGGCATCGTGCCAGCTAGATAAAAACTATATGTAGTTAAAACACGCAGCTTAATTATTACAGTCGTCAAGAATTGAAAATTAATATTATCAATATCGTTTTGCACAATTAGAACTGTAAATCTGAGAAATAATTTACATTGTCTTAATCTATTATATATTTTTTTCGCATACTTTTAATTTAAAAAAAAAACGACAAATTTACTGTGGAGTCAAGAGCATGAAGCTTGATACTGAACTTTGGACCATATGTACTTGTCGTAAGGGACTTACAGTCTGGTTTTTTTTTGAAGACGGAGTAAAATGTGCAAAAGTGTTGTCCGCTAGCGAACAACTAATGATTGCAGTCGATAAATATTCTAACGACAATCGTCTGAATATTGATCACGCTCATGGAATAACTAGCCGAACTAGTTTCATTTGGATCATCCACGACCTATTATTCATCCAATTACTTCGCACAAATTCATTTGAATTGTTAATTTTGTAACTTACATACACATGCATACACTGTATTTAGAACTATGTTTATGAAAAATACAAAGAGGAGACTTAAAGTTTTTCATTATAATTCAATATAAATGCCGGGAATCGAACCTGAGACCTCAGAGATGGCGACTACTTGTAACGGATGTGCAAGCCATTCGGCCACAGAGGCTGAAAATAATTCAAAAAGTCGTGATTCAAAATCTTCTATTTTACTCTCTTGTGATACAATCTCCTATTTTTCAACAGTTCGCCCTGGATCAACTGCAATGCCTAACGGGCAATACCCTCTCCGAATGGCAACACAACGTCGTCCTATCCTCCCTACTAGCCCAAAAGAAAACTCAAGCGGCCCTCCAATACCTGCACGTTCGTAAACCCGCGCCCATACAGAATGTTTTGAATGAGTTAAACAGCTCAAATCATAGAGTAAATGATCTTGACAAATTGGAAGACTGGCAGTCGTGTTGTAGTCTGTATTTGGCAAGAGGATTGGTTTTTGAAGCACTGGACGTAATTAGAATGTGTGTACAGAACGCTGGTAGTATGGAGGATAAGACTTTTGTGCTCAATTTCTTTTTTAAAGGTGAGTGTTTTTTTAAACACGTCTCTATTTCTTTACAGTTTAAGGTGCTATTTTGTTACACTAATATACTCCGATTAATCACGTAGATGTTATTTAAGTTTTGAGTGACGACATACGTCTATAGAATTAATTAATTCCATAAAATTCCACACCGGGCCTGAGAGAAGAGAGGATGTACACAGTGTCTCCCGCTGAGAATCAAACCTAGAACCTCTTCCATTTCTACATAGGAAGTCCTGGGTTGCTACGGTAGTCAGGTTATAATTGCTATGTATAGCTGTTAAAATAGCAGCTGTAGCAGTAGAGGTCCTTGTGAAAGAGTTTGTCCAGGGAAGTACTGTCACCTTACCTATTTCTGCCGCCCAGCAGTAGTGTGAGAATTACTGCGGAAGGTTTTGAAAGGTACGAGTGAAATTACAGGCACATGGGACTTTGTCAACTTATGTCTCAGGGTGACAGGCGCAGTGGCAACGCCCCCCGGGATTTTTGCGATTTAAAGCTCTGAGTGGCACTGCAACAGTTGTTGCCAGGCGTGTAGCTTACCATCAGTCACACGACTTGTTCGTCCCGTTACTTGATATTATAAAAAAATATGTTTTATAAATAATTATTCTATTCTGTACTACCTGATACTTGGTACTTGGTGTAACGGGCTGGTATCCGCATTATAAATATTGATGAATATACTATATTATTCTTATCGAATCGATGGCATATCGTCGCCTTACTTACTGAAATGCAAAAAATGGATTGCAGCAAATTTTGCAGACTAATATCACATTTCCGTCACATTCACACACTGGCTTTTACCTGTTCTTAAAGTAAGTCATACAAATTAACATCCATGATAAGAAATTTATAATAAATAGAAAGTTTTGCCATCTCCTGAATAATCACTCTTTGTAAGATACGACTTTGAGAAAGTGAGGCATTGATATACTACAATACATGCCATCGTGGTAAAAGAATTTGCCAATCGGCGTAAGGCACTCGCCAATTTTTGCCAGGATGCGCCAGACGTACAGAAAATAATTGGTACGTCGTCAGTGGAGGCTCTTTTCGTGCACCCTGTATTATTATTAAACTTAAAAAAAAAACAGAAAAATTAACACGGCGTACCAGCGGTTAACACTATAGACACTGACGGCCTCCGTGGTCGAGTGGCTTGCACACCGGTTTTCATGGTGTCGCCATCTCTGAGGTCCCGGGTTCGATTCCCGGCCGGCTCAGCGTAGAAAACTAACTTTTCTATATCGTCTCGGGTCTGGGTGTTTGAGGTACCGTTGCTTCCGATTTCCATAATAAATGCTCCAAGTGCTTTAGCTACATACTTTAGGATCAGAACAACGTATGTGATGTTCTCTAATATTATTTATTTATTTATTTTAAAGAGGCCAGGGTACGTTTACAGGACCAAGAAAACGAACAAATCTAAATTAGTTCAGGTCCGGGTAGTTCCTCAGTTAATTGTAATTGTATACTATTCCACAGCATGCCGCAACACGGGGCAGTTGTCAAAGATCCTTCAAGTAACGTTACTTCCATTTGAAGAAGCTGTATTCATAAGTTACCTGGAAAATTGCAACGAATCGCAGACATCAGACATTTTGATCATGTACTACTTGCAGCAGGCCAGGTAATTAATAATAATTAGTGTTTACTTTTTCTCAAAGAGTTTTTACAAGACCTTTGTAGTAACAAAATCTGTAGGAGATTGGAATGTAAACTAGATCAAGACATCTACATATATCTTAGGCTTCCAGGCACCCCAGAGCGAACATATTGCTATTAAATTTACACTAGCGATAGACGATAGTTACTAAAAAACATGAACGAAAATTATTTTTCGGTAAAGCCGACTAAATCGAAATATAGTGCCACTATCGATTTATTGGATATTTTTTTACTAACAATCGCCCATCGCTACTTTACACTAAATTTAACAGAGATGTTAATAAAGAATCAAGAAAGAACAAGTGTATAAAACGTACATGTATGTATATGTATATGTGTGTGTGTGTGTGTGTGTGTGTGTGTGTGTGTGTGTGTGTGTGT